CCTAGCTTTCACAGCAGCGTTAGTCCAATAAAGGTCTGCAGTCCAGAACGTTACAAGTTAATGCATACCACGTCAAGACACGTCGTCAGGACTTACGCTCGAAATCCTTGAGACGCGGTAGGCGTGGCTGCGAACTCGGACTGAACATGGCGGCTGCTAGGTTTTTCGTAAGATATTTTGATTTTGGGACACTAGCAATCATGTCTCTGCCCAACACAGAACAAGATGACAGTTGTCTCAAATTGAAATATCCCACGAGTAACCCTCCCTATGCCATGTTCAAATGCCACGCCTACCCCGTCTCAGGGATAAGGAGTGTATGTAGGGAGGGGAAGGGTGGGGTGAGGAGCTTCGAGTTTGGTGGAGCACATGGTCAAAATGCGAGTACCTCTTATACAAGAATCAGAGAATAGGTTCACCCGATAGGAGAGGGTTCGCAACTGCGTCAGCGTGCTACTTTCTCCCCTCAAAAGTGAACGGGGCTAGAAGGTATTGATTCCGGGTGCCGTTCCTGTACTCCGCCCGCTCTACAGTACAGCAAACTACACGTCTAAACATAGCCAAGCGCGCAACTTGTTTGCGCCCTCTCACTACTGGTTGTTCTCTACTTCTGACTACGGGTTCGCTGCGGGATTTGGGTATCGATACTAGTGCTGCACCTCGAGTCGAAGTTTGGAACGGCACCTGGGTTTACCGTTCGGCCTCATTTCCGCACATTCTGAAGTGACGAAGGTGTTACATTTGTACTGCTGCCAATCGCACACAGCAAGGACCGTCCTCGGAGCTGAGTGTGCAGTTTGCCTTCGAACTTCCACTCTAGAGTAGGGGCACAGTCTCACACTTTTCTAGAAACGAACACTCATGCTGTTCGCTCCCTGCAGAAAATGAGATTAGCATAACAAAAGTTGCTAAGAAAGAAAGACTCACTTAGAGTAGGTGCGCTGTGACTCAACCAAAGAACTTGTTCGTGTCGGTTTCGACACAGAAAATTCTGAAGCTTTTTTCAGATCAAAGCGAACGCTGGTGAACGGATTGTTTTGCATGGGAATGTGCTCCTTCTTGCTCTTCCAGTGCCTGACTTCAGCATGCCATTCAACGTCATCTGCTTCGTTATGACCACCGTGTCTCTATGTTTCGGTCCAATTCACAGCTTTTCAACGAAAATGTACGTTTATCAAATTTTCGCACAAGTGCACAATTCAAAAACTCCGTTTTCAGATTGATTCCGGTCAACTCGGCTTTGCCAAGTTCATCGCTCACAAGGAAGTTATTCCGCGTCTTTCTTTTGATACTGTTGGCGCTGGCATTCTATGCACAATACCGAGAAATGAGCCTCCACGAGATTCGAAGAAACATCGAGCAGTTCTTCGAAAAGATGAACAGCGTCTAGCAATTGGATTTCCAACTATTTTCAGCGGATCTCACCTTTGTTAACACAATGAACGCCTGGAGTTGAGGGGAACGCAACCTGACTTCGGTCTATGAAAAAGTGTTACATAAAAGGGACATTTTTGATGGGAGCATACGCGTAGCTAGCATACGACTAATCGGGAAAATTTAATCTTAAAGACGGTTTGCATTGAAATCAATGCACATGGCGTTCAATGTGTTAACTAGCGAATCATGTGCTCCGATCAGTTTGAAAAGCAAATAGGAGCAATAGGAATTTTTTTATTTAATGCTTTAATTTAAGTTGTCCTATTGATTGTGTACATACTCTATTTACTTCAGATCGGCTCCCTACTGCTAAGGGTGATGTAAAGTAGGGGTTCTCAACGATATGTCCCACTTCCGTTTAGAAAGTAGCTCTTCGACGAGAAGCTGCAATGCGCGGACACCCTGGGCATGAAATCTTCATTCACAGCTTTTCTTTGCTAGCGGGGTTCCTCTCATAAATGCCTGATAGCAAATGGGAGCGACGCAAGATGCAACAGTGGGTGAAAGCGATCTTATTGCTAGATGCGTTCTGCGGATCGAATCTCCCCTCAGGTCAATCTGAGCTCACCCTTGTTCTAGGGCGGTTATTTGGCGCCTGACATGCTTTGTCGGAAATTATTTCTCCAAAGAGTGCAAATCCAACCATGCAGTGGACTTAAGAACTGGCAATTTTATGTGGACTGAGCTGAACATCCACTTGATAGTCTAAAAAAGTCGATTTCGCGGCGCATCATTAATGAGTGGCAACGCCGATTGTAGTCTCCTATATGTTCGGCAATACGGTATCACAAATCAGGGATAGC